TGTCCAGTCTTCTGAGCCTTTAATTTAAAGCCAGAACTAGCTTGTTTTGGTTTTCTTTTAAAATCCTCGGTGCTTTTCCTTGTGTTTGGGCACAAAACGCTCTCCTGAAACTTCTTCACTCACTCGGATGCAAGTAAGGGGAGTGTGGGAGAATGGAACACGGCTAGGTGAACTTATTTTATACAGGGCTGAGAGTGAATATCTGCTCAACTATTCCACTGGGCTGCATCAGGGAAAGCAGCCCTAGACAATATGTAAATGAATGGGCATGAATGTGTCCCACTAAAATTTATTTATAGATACTGAAATTTGAAATTCACATAACTTGCACGTGTCATGAAATATTAGTCTTCTTTTGATTTTTTTAACCATTTAAAAATATTAAAACCATTCTTAGCTTGCAGGTGCACACAATCAGGTGGTAGGCAGTAGTGTGCTGCACCTGGAATACGGGGAGTTAGGTGCTGGGTGTGAGGCAGCGGGGGTGTGATGGGAGGGCCAGGGTGCAGGAGGTCGGGGTACAATGGGGACAGGGTATAATGGGTAATGAAGTCAGGGTAGGGATCACCTTTCTCTGGCTGATCTCTTTGGGCAGTAATAAGGGCAAGAGGAATGTTCTCTTCTAAGAAGCATGCTGGATTTGGAGGGAGGAAGAAGCAGCAGTAGCTTCTCCTTTTGCTAACTGTGCTCCAGTTCTACCCTCTCTCAGCACACTTGGCTCTCTGAGCACTCCTCCCTGGCGAGGTGGGGATTTGAAGGGTGGAAAGGGAATGGCTGGACAGCAGAGGCCAGTCAGGGAGTGGGCAGGAGCCCCGCTCCAGGGGAGGGAGCTAATTACCAAGATCAGGCAGGAATAAGCCAAGGTGTCAAGATGGACTTGGGGATCCAGCCACTGGATGGGAGGGTCATTAGGAAAGCCAGAGGAGAAGTGCCACATCCTGCGGCAGGGGCAGCACTCTGCATGTATTTATGGGTGGCAATCAGAGCCACTTCCCTGATCTGAGGAGTTTGCATTTCAATGGAGGAAGAAAAGCAATAAACAGATACAGAAATAAATATGAAATGGTCCAGGTGTTGATGAATGCTAAGAAGAAAAATGAAGCAAGTCGGAAAGGGATGGGGGAGGGAGTCGTGAAGTGTGAGCAGGGCTGGAGAAGAGTCGGGGAAGGTAGAGATCAGGCCATGGCCTTGCAGCCTTTTCAGCATGTGAGAAGAGCCCCTGATGTGCCTGTGAATTCTAAGTAGTTGGGTGTGGCTGGGGCTCAGGGACCACGGCAGGGCAGGGAAACAGAGTGGAATGGGGCCTGGTCACTATTTGGGGGGCCCTAAGCCATTTTATTCCTTCTTTTTCCTTCTTTCCTACCATGTGTGGGACAAGTCTTGTATACCACGCCCTAACTTTGTTGCCTTGATAAGCCTCACCATCTGCAGCTCAATTCTTCAGACCTTGCCAAACTTCAGTCTGACAAATGATAAGAAACTTGGAGACGTACCTCTGGTGGGTGTGAGTTCTGTGCCAGACTCGCTGCTTCCTGGCTTTCCACGCTGGAGATCCATATGGGTTGCTCTGGGTTTTTAAAAAAGCGCATCGCCTCATGTCCTCCTTTTTACCAAAAGAGGTGAATGGAGATTTGACAGAAGATGAGGTGCTGAGATTTTTATTTGGCCACAGGATCTAGTGCTCAGAGGCGAGGGCTCCCTCTTTTAGACAAAGCGATGGCACTGAGGACAGAAGTGTCGACACCGGCTTTGCTCCAGCTGGCACGGGGCCCTCTTGTCTTCTCTCGGTTCTCCCAGTTTTGGATACTGAGGTCAGGTTAGCCAGCGTTCGCTAGTTGTTAGTTGTTCTCTAGTTGGGGGTTTGTACAGAATTTAACACAGGGTTTTGTGCCCAACATTCATTCATTCAGTTAATATTTGTGCAAAGATCATATTACTGTAATCATTACACTGATACTGGATATCCTCATTATGACTAATAGATTCAGGATGGCCTGATAGTGTGGACCAGTGGTCTGAGGTGATATTTGCAGACATATCACTAGCCTTCCTTAGAGTGTGGCTTTTTTCCAAGCAGGTGAGAAGAAGACAAATTCATTTGTCCATTCAAATAAATATTTACTGAGTGTCCACACTGTGCCAGATGCTGTCCTAGACCCTGGGACCAAGCAGTGAATAAACCTGCTCTTAGGGAGCCAGCATTCATGGGGGGGGTAGATAATAAAGACAAGCAAGGGTGACATTGTTGGTGAGGAGGACTTGGAAGAAGATAAGAGTATTGGGGCTGGGGAGCCCTAATTTATATAGGTGGTCAAGGAAGGCCTTTCTGACACAATGAAAGTGGCCAAAACCTTAGTGAAGTGACAGTGAGCCAGTGGACATCTGGGGAAGAATGTTCCAGGCCAAAGGAACAGCAAGTGCCAGCACCTTGAGGCAGGGAAAGCCACATACTCACGAGGAACAGCAGCATCTGGTGTGGCTAGAAACAGCCAGTGGGGATGGGTGGTGGGAGACAAGGCCAGAGGGTCACCAGGAGCCAGTCAGGGGTGGTGGCGGGGGTGGGGGGGCTGGTGGTCTTGGTGAGACTTTACCTTTTACTCTGGGCAGGACGGGAGCCACTGGAGGGCTGTGCACAGGGGATTGGTGTGCTCAGATGTGTGCATTTAAACAAGAATGCCTTGGCTGCTATGTGGAGTCCAGTGCAGAAACTGGAGGACCGAGTGGGAGGCTGTTGCACTAGCCTGTAGGGTATGGGATGGAAGGAGTGAGACACAACTGGATTCTGGAGGTGTGCTGGGGAGGTGCTGGTGGACTGAAGATGGGATATGAGAAAAAAGGAATCTGGTAGATGGATTTGCCATTTATTAGGGCCGGAGACTGTAGGGGGAGCAGCTTGGGTTTGGTAAATCTGAGATGTCTGTTAGGGCCTCGAGGTGGGTGTCAGGTGGGCAGTTGGATGTGCTAACCCAAGCTTAGAGAAGAGCACAGGGCTCCAGCAGACATTTGGGAGTCTTCAGTTGGTCACTGAAGCCACAGGACTGACCTGTGGAGGAGTAAGTGTGGCCAGAGGACAGAGAGGGCAGATGACTGAGTCTTGAAGGCTCCAGGCTTCAAGGTGGGAGCCAAGAGGAGCCAAGGAGGAAGATGGAGAATAAGATGCCAGAGAGGCTGGAGGAGAAGCAGAGAGAGGGATCTGGAAGCCACAGAGGAAAGGTGCCTGAAGGAAGAAGGTCCCAGCAGCTGTGTCAAGTGCTGCTGCTGGGACAGCAAGATGAGGACTGGGAACCTACCATTGGGTCTGGTGAAGTAGAAGTCTTTGGTCACCCCGACAAGGACAGTGTTTGTGCAGTGGTGGGGACAAAGCTATGGGAGTGATTTTAGGAGGGAGAATGGGGAGATGCATTGGTGACAATCTGGAGAGGGGATTTCTGTGCAAGAGAACCAGTGATAGGAGGAAGAGGAAAGGCAAGGAGGGGTTCTATTCTGACATGGTATGTCAGAACAAGGTGGCCTCTGAGTGAGCAGGACGGACAGTACAGGAACACTTCCTTGCTTGGCCATAGGGACAGGCTCACATGGTCGTGCAGCCCGCCTGGCTGCCTGGTGGGATCACAGAGGTTCATTCCCTGGAATAGGACAAGAGGCTCCTCATCTGAGCATGGAGCTGGGCAGACGGTAGTGTGGGTGCATGGGAGCATTGTCTCGCAGTGGCTTCTGTTTCCTCTGTAAAATAAGAAGCAGGGTTGTCAGTGGAGAGGAAGGAGGTGGGATGAGAAACTGGAGGTTAGGAGGGTGGAGAAGGTGGAAATGGCTGTTTGGATGGAGTATATGTGAGAGTGTGTGTGTGTGTGTGTGTGTGTGTGTGTGTGTGTGTGTGTGAGCATGCATGAGGGTGATGGTGTGTAGGAGTTGATGTGGCCACAGAGGGAGTACCATGCAGTACCACATCCTGGCTGGAAGCCTGGGAGGTGCCTGTGGTACGTTTCCCCTCTGCTCCATCAGGCTGTTTGCATGGGTTTGGAAGGGGCAATGAGTTGAATTTACCTCTGGTTGGGGTCTTGCCAAGAGAGTAGGAGGCAGAGGAGGGGAACAGGGAGCTGAGTATGTCACCCCGGGGCAGCGGGGTGCAGGGGTGCAGGTGGGTGACTTAAGAAGGAAGTGGAGATGAGAGGAGCAGAGTGTGCAAGGAGGCAGGAGCCCAGGCAGTGGTCCTGGCAGGGTCAAGGCTGGGGGCTTTGGGCACCCAAGGGAGTGAGCTGGAAAGATTTTTTTTGGGAGGGGGGGAGCAGCTGTGGTGTGGGGTATGATTGTGCTATCAGCGGTCATTGTAGAGTATGAGCGGGGAGTGGTCAGTCTCCTTATCTAAAATTGGGAAATGGTACTTCCACCAGGTGGGTTGGGAGGATTCAGTCACCTAGCTTTGGGCTTGGCTCCTGGGAGCCCCTTGGTTTTCTCTGTGTCTCCACAGGGCCCGTCCTAAAGCCTTATGCGTCTGTGTGCCCGATAAATAGCATTTGCTGAGTTTGGAGAAGATCTCTATAAAACTTTTCTGTAATATCTTTAAAAAATTCAGACGGGTTGAAATATAGTCATATTTTCCAGCTCCTAGTAAAAATAGTTTGCATATGGCTGTGAAAAATAAAAATTGTGCAAGTCCAGCTATGCCAAAACTGTAGTTTTAAAGTATCAATTAACAAAAAAGATTTTTCATACGGCCCTAAAAGGGAATGAATTGTGTATGAGACTTATTGCTTTACATCAGAAAGAGTTTTTTTTTTAAATTGCTAAGACCATTTACAGAGAAAATTGCCTTGAAAACATTCAATAAATGCAAAGTGTTCTTTTTTTCCATAAACATGTCATTTTGCAATGCCTACCACTGTGAGTCTTTGAAAACATTTTATTTTACAAGAAGTATTAAGAAACTTTCACATTTTTATTACCATTTGGTTTTTAACACTAGATCTTTTGACTTTTCCTAAATCATTTTTTATACATAGGTTTTCAAAAACATTAAAACTGTTACCAAAGCCTTTAAGCTCATTGATGTTAACAAGACTGGACTGGTTCAACCACATGAGCTAAGAAGAGTTCTGGAGACCTTCTGTTTGAAGTTAAGGGATGAGGAATATAGCAAGTAAGTACGTGCAGGTGTGGTGAGGGACCACGCAGCAATGCTTCTTAACCCATTTCCAAATGAGACCTGTTGGGTTCATTGGATCCATCCATCCTCCTCCCTCCTGCCTTCTTTTTCAAAGGGGCACTCACTGGGCTTTCTCCTGTGTTCCTGAGGCTCTCCATGAATTCTCAAAAATGAGAGCTAATGGTTCTCCTTCCCTAAGCATCATCCTGGCGGGCCCTCTGGCCTGCAGGTTTGAGTGCATCTAGATTATATGAGTCATCCATCACCAATTGTCTCTTCCTGCTGGGCACTGCAACCTCCATCCCACGCGTTTTCAGTTCACAGTTGATTTTTACTCAAAGCCTGGGGTTAGGAGAGGAACGACAAATTTCAGGATTTATTCATTTGTCGATGGGCTCCCTGTTGGCTCTCCATCCTGATATAATAACAGAAACTTAATTTTCCATTGAGGACTGTGTTGCTGAGGTTGGGGGGCTGCGCAGCAGGGAGGTGATGAACAACAGAACATTTAGCTGCTTCATGGAGTTTGAAAGCCGCCACCACCTGCTCCTGACTCCAAGGGCAGTGCACGCAAGCCTACATTGGCATTGTTTTTTGTTTTGTTTTGCTTTTGAACCTCCAGTAAACTCCAGATTATTTAGAAGAAGCCAAATGCCTGGCTTCTGTGGCTACTTGAGTTGTGAGTGGAAGCCACTAAATGAATGGCCCAAGTTCAGCTTAATTTATATAGTACCCAGCCAAAAGTCCTTTCCCTCTTCTGCCTTTTCCCAAACACTTTTCTAAATACCCTCCAGGCCACTACCAAAGCGCAGAGCCTCATTATTTCACCCTGAGCTTGCACAGGAGTTCTAAGTTGTTATTAAAATGGGTCCCCATAGGCCTTACTCATGCCCTAAAGACATTACTCATGCCCTAAAGACAGCACGGCTGCTGCTAGAGGTGGAGCAGAGGAATTTGCCTCAGAGGTGAAGAAGTCTAGAGGGCAGCGACTGTCACTGAGGCTGCAGGGGCTGAAAATCAGGCAGACTTTAGAAAATGGATATTTCCTACCCTTTTGAATACTTTCTTCTCCTTTTTTTCCTCTTTATAACCCACCTCAGAATATAAAAGACATAATAGATGTTTTAATTTTTACATCTTTTCCGGCTGGGAAAATGTCCAGAATAAGATCCAAACAAAACAAATTAAATAATTTTGTGCACGCAATTATAGAACAGAGGCAGCGCTCTTCTAAAACAGGCAATCAAAAAACAAAACAGTGTTTTATTTGACAATAAACCTTGTGTTTGGCACTGCAGTCTCCAACCTAGTAAATCTATAAAAAATGTTACTGTCTGTTTCCCCATCTCATAAGTATTGAGTAATAAAGAACTCCACAAATTTTTATTTGAGATTTTTTTAAGCCTCAGAAACAATGCTGTTTTCATGATAAGGCTTGAGAAACTTAACATAATAGAATTGCTTTCTTTTAGACTAGGAAACACAGAAGATCAAAAGGAGACCATTTCTTCAATTGCTTTAATGCTTTTCCCATTGAAGCTCAAGAATATATTCTTTCCTCGAGAAGCTGCTTCAGTATTAACTTTGCCTTTTTAGTTTTTGAGCAGGAAACACAATGCATTTTTGAATCCTGTCTTTTATCTAACAGCTTTCTATTTAAAATCAACATTTGGCTCTTGGTGTGATAGAAACGGCCTGTGCTTTGAAGTCAGACATGCTAGAGGTGAAGTCTGTGCTCTGCCCTCCCTAGTTCTCCAGCCTTGGGGAAGTGCCTGGGCCTTTCTGAAACTCAGTTTCCTCTTAAAGAAGTGGGAACTGAGCAGCCCACGTTGCAGGGCCGGGATGAAGGTTCCAGGTAATGTACATAACATGCCTGTGATGCATCTGCACATAGTAGGTGCTCATCTCATGGTGACTATATCATAATTGTGAAAATTCCATGAATGCCCTTTACTCTTTTATAAACAATTCCTTTTGGGCTGCAGATACTGTCCAGCCTATGTAAAACAAGAAGCCAGAGATAACTTTTACCAAGTTTTATACTTAGTCAGGGCTTGCTTGAAACCTATCAGGTTTTGTTTTTCCTTTCCTATCTCACTCCACCCTACCTTCCTTTGCCCTGCAGGCCAGAGCATTTGATATAGGCAAAAAAATTTATTAGCAGCCTTGTAAAACAAACAAACAAAGCCCCAAAGGTCAGCCTGTCACCTGAATGGATGAGTGAAGCACAGTTCCAGCTGGTGATGCTGGAGAGCTTTATGGAATGATTGGGGTCATTCCCTTCTCCCTAAGTTTGGCCTTTCTGCATGACCAACTTGTCTGCTGGTCTTTGCAGGCTTGTACATACTCCTGTCCAGAGTTCAGGTCCCTGTGACAATGGCCTTGATTGTTGTATCTTAGGAATGGTTCTGTCTCCCATCCTTTCTTTTTATAAAAAGCGTTTTGAGTTGCTGCATTCTTGTGTAGTACTGAGGCTTCAGTTTTGAAAATTTATTTGTAGAAAACATTACCATGGGATTCTTTCTGTCCTCCACGAATGTGCAGCAGGTACTGCGAATGCAGATGGCCTGGGGATTAAGACAGGGCAGGATTTTCCTATGAGCAAGTGCTGGTTTCAAGGATTGCTGCATTTTCATCAGAAACTGGAAGACTGGCTATGAGCCTCTCATCAGTATGCTGCCATTTTCCTGGTGCAACAGAAGAGCTAACACTTTCTATATGACAGGAACTCAAAAAGGAGGATATTAGGTACCACCTTCTGGGTTCTCGAGCTTGCCACCTCATTTTCACAAGACAGACTATGGCTGAAAGATGGAGCTGTTTAGGGAGATTCGGTGTTAACATCTGGCAGCTATCATATCTAAAGATGATTTTTCTTATTAGAACAATAGGCAAGATTCATCAAAGTGGAAAAAAAGGTATGCATTGAAATGAGTAAATGACATTACTCTTTGTTAAATTTGGAAAACAGAAAAATAACAAATACTTTAAGTGATAATTATAACAATTTTTAGAAAGCAGTACAACATTAGATAATTATAGAAATCAACACATATGGAGATACTATAACCAAACATTTAAAAACCATCAAGTTTTAGAAATGTAATAACACAGAAATTATCTAGAAAACCATTTATCAAGTGGCAGATTTGAATAATACAAAATTCATTTTTAAAAAATCCAAACATCCTACTTAACTTTAAAAAAGAGTATCTCAACATATTTTAGGAATACGCAGTGGTTAAGGGGTTCAAATATTCCTTAATATATATAAAAATCATAGACTGCTTGAAGAAAAGCCTTGTCCCTTCCACCATCCACTGTTTTGAAACCACATGCCATTTGTGGGCCTCAGTTTCTCTCCAGAGAAACATGTGGAGTCAAGACCATCATCTACGTTCACCCCTCCACCCAGCTCTGGATTTCTCTGGTGAAGGAAATTTTATGCTAATGGACTCATATGCCTCCAATTATTAAAGGCAAGCGGGACCTACGTCTGCTGTCTGAGTAGAGAGGTGGCTGCCTTGCAGTAAATCCCCGGCTTCCTTCCCCCTCTCGGGAGAAAGGAGAAGCTCGACTGGGGTTTGGATAGCAGGGGCAAGCCTCAGCAGGTCCAGCGATGTTTCTTCCTCATTCCGACCTCTGTGCACCCGTCTGTTAGGCTGAAAAAGTGAAGTAGCTGAATTCAAAAAATCTTACAGTAACATTTCCTAGGGTTTATTTTTAAATTCCAGCTGTAGCTAGAAACAGACATTAAAATGAATGTCAACCTCAGTGCAAAGGATACCTTAGTAACAAACTTGCTTTATTGTAGATTCACTGTGTGGTAATTTTTGATTTCTAAAGAACATTTATATTTTAGGTTTTCAAAACACTACAATATCGATAAAGATACTGCAGTGGATTACAATGTTTTTTTGAAGAACCTCAGCACAAATAATGATTTGAACCTTAGATATCTTATGGGAAACCAAGGTAAGTATTTTTAAAGTATGAAGCTAAAGATTTCAATATCTTTTGGCGTGGTAATTTCTCTTCTTTGAATCTTTCCTGAAGAAATACTTTCAAATATAGAAAATACATTATCTACAAAGATAGCCATGGTATCATTATTTATAAGAATAATATAAATGCCTAACAATAGAAAAAGGGTTGAGTTGCAGCATATGCACACAGTAAAATGCACACCAGGAACAATGATTTCCACAAAGAATTAGTGATAACATAGAAAATGTATGTGGAATATCTGTGACTGACTAGAAAACATTCCAAAATACTCACAGATCGTCTTAAAGTGATATGTCTCTGGGTGTTATTTTATTTTCCTTCTGCTGCTTCTGTAGTTTCAGAGATTTTTAAAATAATAAACATACATTCCTTTAATGATAGGAAAAATCTTAATGTGAAAAGGGCAAATAGTTGAGTAATTTGCAGTTTTTTAGATGTGCAAAGCCATGCTTACGTAGGCATATAACCGTGGGAGGGAAAATTGTTCCTTGTGCTAATAGTCTCTGTCCCAGCCTCATCAGTGTAATGCTTAGAGTTGCCAACCTATTGGATAGTTTTGGAGGGAGCAGGGGTCCAGTTCTTTGAGTATGAATGTATGCATAATTCAACTGGACACTATCCCCTCTTGGTCATTTGTCATTTTCCTTGCCTTAAACAGGATTTCTCCTTAGTGGTTTGTTGCTTCAGGGGTTTACCACCACTGTGACTGGCTCGTTCAGAATGGCTCGTTGCTGTGTGCTTTCAGCTTCCTTCAGTGCAGCAAGTATTCATTGAGCACCTTCTGTGATTCTCAGATCCATCTCACTAGCAAGCTGACAAATGACAGATTCTCAGGTTTCAGCCTGGTTTCACTAATCAAGATCACTTATAGCAGACTCCAGTATTCTCCTTTTTAAAGCTTCCCATGCCAGGCACTATGATAAGCATGTTTCTGTATCATCTTTTCATATTCCTCCCAGCCCTGTGAGACAGGTACTAATGCAGATGAGTGAAAGATAGAAGTAAACAATCAAACCAATCCCACTACCCAGAAATAGCCACTGTCAACATTATTCCTGGCATCTTTCCATGCATATATTAATATATGGAAAGGAGGGATAGGTAGAAAGAAACACATGTATGCAAATGGGTTTATATAGATGCTGTTGTATATAAGAATTTGCCTTTACTTGAGTGTATCAGAAGAATAGAAATTTAAGTGAAATTCAAGAAAATGATGACTATTCTTGGCTGGATACAATATCCATGGGTCACATTTTTCCTCTTTAAAACACCATAGACTGATCTATTGCCTTCTGGTACTGAGTCTGGCTATGGAGAAGTCTGATGCCTGCTTAATTTTCTCTGTTATTGGTGATTTGCTTTCTCTGGCTGGTTGCCTAAAGAATGATTCATCCCTGAATTTCTTTGGCATAGCTAGTATATGTGTTGTACCTTCTGCATCAGTTTTTCAGAACACAGTATATTTTTCATTTGTAAATTCTTCAAAAATTTGTAGTAATATTATATATCTTTGAATAAATCTTTCAGCTTCCAAATTTTTAACTGCAGAGATACAAATTATCTTTATGTTGGGTTGTTTTTGTCTTCTATATCTATTACATTCTCTCTAAGTGCTTCATTCTTTTTGTCTTTTTCCTCTGTATTCGCAATGACCATCTTAGATCTTTTATCTGTACCTGTAATTTGATTTTCACCAAGGTCTATTTTATTCCTTGCTGTTTCTAATTTACTTATTAGTTCTATAAGAGTGTTTCCTTAAGTCTGCTGTATTATTTCCCATCTCATTGTTTCACCATGTTGTCACTGAGTTCTTGTTTTACTAAATTCATGTTTTTATTAAGATATTCTGTAAAATAATTTTGTATCTTGAGTTACATTTTCTTCCAAGGGGGATCTTTGCCTTTTGTTCATTATGTTCCTTTCCTTCCTTGTCTGTCCACCACTCTACTTTTTCTTCTGTAGAGTTTGCATAATTTTAAGAAATTTGGGTAAATCAAACATTTTCTATTCCATTTTACTTCTTCTGTTGTCTTTGTATTGTTAATTTTTTGTACTTGTTCTAGTGTTCACAATATACATATTTAATTAACTAGAATCTACTTGTAAATAATATTTTACTGATTCACTTGAAGTGTAAGGATCTTACATAAGTGTTTTCCCAATTCTTCACTCCCATCCGTTGTTATATTGCTGTCCTACATTATACTTTTACATACACTATAGACACACAGTACATTGCTACAGCTCTCTTGTTCTGCTGAGATTTCTTATCTGTTTATTCAGTAGGAGTATATTTTCCTTTACATTCTCAAACACTGTTATTTAAAATTTTTCATCTACTAATTTCAACATCTAGGTCATCTCAGGGATTGGTCTTTATTAACTACCTTTCTTCTTGAATGTGGATCACAGTTACCTGAATTTTTTTCCTATGTCTAATTATTTTGAAATTTATCCTGGATATAGTAAATTTTGCATTGGATTTTGTTATGTTCCTCTGAAGAATTTAAGTTTTTTGTGTTAGCAGCCAGTTTACTTGGCTGCACTCAAACTCTTATCTTTGTCCTCCCTGAGGGGAATAATACCTGAACTCTTTGTTTTGTATTTTATCCTTAGATGGGCAGCTTGGTGTCTGCTCTACACATCTATAGTTCAGGGGTTAGCAAGAGATTTGGGGAAAGTTTATTCATAGATTTTGGTGATCACTCTCTAGGCCTCTCTTCCTTTGGGCTTTCCCTCCTTATTTTCCAGCTGCTATGGTAGGCCAGAAGTCTGTTTTCTGATTCCTAAAGCCTGAGTTTATATCCAAATTCTAGCCATTGAGCATGGTTCCATCTGGGCCTGTCCTCAGGTAAAAAGCCAAATAATAATAAAAGTTCATTTTCCCAACTGCCACCTTCAGTTTGTATCTGCTTTCAGTTGTTCCCAGTGTCTTCAGATAGTTTTTTGTTTATGTTTTCCCCAGAGTTGATAATTGTTGTCTGCTGGTAAGGGGGATGTTGGTTTAGTATGAACTAATCTACCATAATTGGAAGGAAAACTTTTCTGTCTGCCTGTATGTATTAAATTACTTTTTGCTTCAGTTTATGCTGGCATTTTTTTTTCTTTTTGCTAATTTTTACTATTTTTTTCTTTTGGTTATTTCATTAAGTGTTTTAAGTTCTGTAATACAGTTTCAATTTCACTATGGAAATCTCTCTCTTTTTTGTATTTTATCAATAATTGGCAGCAGATTTTCTTTATTGGTGATGGATAAACTAATGTATCTCACAATGAAAAGCGTCTTTGATTTGATCAAGTGTAAGATATATATTCAGTCATTCTTCTGTTTATTCCTGTTTCCACAGTATTAGTTTATATTCTTGTTGCTGCCTCCTGCCGATATCATAGTCTACAGCATGGGCCTATTCCAATCTGTCTTCTATAGTCCACACATGGAGACTATCTTAAAATAAAATCTCATTCATGCCTATTTTCCCATTGCATACTCACTCCATAACTTTTATAATTGAAATTCAAGTCCTCCAGTTAGAAGGGAAAACCTTTTTGTGGATGTTCAGATGTGGTAGTTTGGAGCTCATCATATTAAATCTCTGCACTGAGGCTTTCAAGTATTATTATTTAGGAAATATATTTTGTAAGGCTGTAGCTGCTATAGATAATGATTTTGCTGATGGATCTGGGAAAAGTAAATTTAAAACCTCTGGAAAGGGTTCACCATTCTAGATGCCATTAAGAACATTCATGGCATGTTCTTTCACGATTTATGTTCATTTATGATTCATGGGAGGAAGTCAAAATATCAATACTTGCAGGAGTTTGGAAAAAGGGGATTCTAATCCTCATGGATGACTTTGAGGGGTTCAAGACTCCAGTGGAAGAAGTCACTGCAGATCTGGTAGAACTAGCAAGGGAACTGGAATTAGAAGTAGAGCCTGAAGATGGGACTGAGTTGCTGCAATCCCATGATAAAACTTGAGTGGATGAGGAGCTGCTTGTTATGAATGAGCACAGAAAGTGGTTTCTTGAGATAGTATCTACTCTTGATGAAGATGCTGTGAACATTCTTGAATTGACATGAAAGCATTTAGAATATTACATCAGCTTAGTTGATAAAGCAACAGCACAGGGTTTGAGAGGAAGGACTAATTTTGAAAGAAGTTTATTGTGGGTCAAATGCTATTAAACAGTATTGCATGCTACAGAGAAATCTTTCATGAAAGGAAGAGTCAGTCAACGTGGCAAACTTTGTCATTCTTATTTTAAGAAATTGCCACAGCCACCACTGACCTTCAGCAGCTACCACCCTCATCAGTCAGCAGCTAGCAATATCGAGGAAAGACCCTTCACCAGGATGGAGGTTAGAACTCACTGAAGGCAGAGATGAACATTAGCATTTTTTAGCAATATTTTGACCCCGTGTCCACAGATTGCCATATTAGGAGTGAAAACCTTTATCGTATGTGCTCGGTTGCTTTCATCTTTCTTATATTTGTCTATCCAGGCATTTTGGTTATTTAAAGCTTGTTTTCTATTAAAGCTTGATTTCCTCAGGAAATCCTTGTGGAAAGTATTAATATATTCTTTGGTTTCTTATATGTTTGTGTTTGTCTGTGGCCTTAATACTTGAAAAATCCATTTTTCTAGATAAAAAAGCCTTGGCCCAAATTTTCTTTCCTTAAGTCTCTTAAATATCTTTATCCATTGCCTGGTGACATAAAGTTTTTGCTGAGGAAAAGTTTGATGACGACAATTTGATTTTATTTCCCTTATTTGTAACTTGATCTTTTTGCCTGGATACCCAGAAAATTTTTTCTTTTTACTTAAAACCCAATAATTTTGCTAGAATATGTGATGATATTAGATACTAATGATTGATTTCCTGAGTATATTGTATACTTTTAAAATTTTCAGATTTATGTCTCTTTTATTTTAGGAAAATTTCTTGAATTGTAATTTTTAGT